CTTTAACAATATTAATTCTTATTCATGAGCATGGAATATCTTTTCACTTATTTGTGTCATATTCCATTTCTTTCATCAATACCTCATTGTTTCATTGTTTTCAGTGTATAGACCTTTCACTTCAATGGTTAAATTTACTCCTAGGTATTTTATTCTTTTTGTGCAATTGTAAATGGAATTGTTTTTACCTTTCTTTTTCTAATAGTTTGTTATTAGTATGTGTTATTAGTAGAAATGCAACTGATCTTTAAAAAAATATATTTTATTGATTTTTCACAGAGAGAAAGGAAGAGGGATAGAGAGCTAGAAACATCGATGAGAGAGAATCATTGACCAGCTGCCTCCTGCACACCCCCCACTGGGGATGTGCCCGCAACCAATGTACATGCCCTTGACTGGAATCGAACTCAGGACCTTTCAGTCCGCAGACCGATGCTCTATCCACTGAGCCAAACTGGTTTCAGCACAACTGATTTTTTATATATTTATTTTTATATCCTAAAACTACTGAATTTGTGGATTCTAACAGGTTTTTGGTAAAGTCTTTAGGGTTCTCTCTATATAATATGTCATTTACAAATAGAAATAATTTTACTTAATGTCCTTCTAATTTGAAAGTATTTTTTTTTCATCCTAATTGCCCTGGCTGGGACTTTCATGTTGAATAAAAGTGGTGAGAGTGGCATTCTTGTTCTAATATTAGAGAAAAATCTTTCAGTTTTTTTACCATTATGATGTTAACTGTGGGCTTGCTATATATGGCCTTTCTTATGTGGAAGTACTTTCCCTTTATACTCGTTATGTTTCGAGCTTTAATTATGAATGAAGTTGAATTTTGTCAAATTATTATTCTGCATATATTGAGATGATCATACAATTTTTAATCTTTTGTTTTATTAATGTGATGTATCACATTGACTTGTGTGTTGAACCATCCTTGCATCTCAGAGATAAACCCATTTGTTTGTGGTGTATAATTCTATTAATGTGTTGTTGAATTTAGTTTACTAATATTTTGTTGAGAATTCTTGTATCTATATTCATCAGAGATATTACTTGTATAGTTTTCTTGTGGAGTCCTTATCTAGCTTTGATATCAGAGTAATGCAGGCCTCATAACATGAGTTTAAAGTGTTCCCTCCCCTTCTTTTTTTTTTTTTTTTTTTTAAGAATTTGGGAAGGATTTGTATTAATTATTATCTCATTGTTTAATAGAATTCATGAGTGAAATCATCTGGTCCTAGGCTTCTGTTTGTTGGGATGATTTTGACTATTGATTCAATTTGCTAGTAAATGGTTTGTTCAGATTTCCAATTTGTTTATTTTTATAATCTGTGTTAGGATATGTTTTCACTGAGAGAGAGAGAGGATATGTTTTCACTGAGAGAGAGAGAGAGAGAGAGAGAGAGAGAGAGAGAGAGAGAGAGAGAGAGAGAGAGAGAAATGAAGAGAGAAAAAGCGAGAGAAAAAACATCAGTGTGAGAGAGAATCAATTGGTTGCCTCCTCTATGTTCCCTGACTGGGATAAAACCCACAACCTAGGTATGTGCCCTGACCAGAAATCAAACCCATAGCCTTTTGGTGTGTAGGATGATGCTCCAACCAGCTGTGCCGCAGTGCCAGGGTAAGTTTTCTATTTCTTTTTTAAAAAAATGTATTTTATTGATTTTCCACAGAGAGGAAGGAAGAGGGATAGAGAGCTAGAAAAGTCGATGAGAGAGAAACATCAACTAGCTGCTTCCTGCACACCCCCTGCCGGGATGTGCCCGCAACCAATGTACATGCCCTTGACCGGAATCGAACCTGGGACATTTCAGTCCACAGGCTGACTCTCTATCCACTGAGCCTAACCGATTTCGGCCAAAATAATTTTTTTAGGTGTGCCCCAGAATTTTTGTAACCACGAGATGAAAAAGGTTGAAAATCGCTGCCTTAAGCAAATAAATACTTGTTTTTAAGCCTTAGTTTTCTCATCCTCAAAATGGAAAGGACTAAAGACAATGCATGTAAAGTCATTAGTCCAGGGTCTGGTGAACAGGGAATTGGAGATAAAGGTTAGTTATACCAGCCAAAATCGTATTGGAACATGGTAACCAGAATATCCATGTAAAAATGTGTACACAGGCCTGGCTGGTGTTGCTCAGTGATTGAACATTGACCCATGAACTGGAAGGTTCGATTCCCAGTTCGATTCCCAGTCAGGGTACAGGCCAGGGTTGTGGGCTCGATCCCCAATAGGGGATGTGCTGGAGGCAGCCAAACAATGATCTTCTCTCATCATTGATGTGTCCACCCCTCTCGTGCTCTCCCTTCCGCTCTCTGAAATCAATAAAAACACATTAAAAAATATGTACACGTGTTAGCAGGGGATGGAGCTAGAAGGAAGATTCTTTAATTAATCCCTCAATGCTGAAGTGACCGGCCCAGTGTGGGTGCTAACGGTTCAGCCCTCCCCCTCAGGATGGGCTTCCTGGGCACGCAGTCTGCAGTCTCATAGGGTTTCATGTTTGACTTCATGTCCTGCTGTCACCAGCTAGAGATTCTTACAACATTTTCAGCAAGAAGCCCCACTTTTCTTCCTCACTGGCCCCCGAATGTATGGAGCTGCCCCTGCCTGTCTTTAACCAGAGCCTGACAGGGCACTGGCTCCCTCCCAGAGCAGAGGAGACCTGGGCTGAGGGTCCAAGGTGATCAGAGGAAATTCTTTTTCCTAATGCCACCTTGGGGGCGACACCTCCTCATTCAGAGATGCTCCCCTGGGCCCTCTCTCAATTAAAAAGCCCCTTGGCTCTGGAGTAGAAGTGGGGTGGTCTGTAAGAAGCTTTCCCCCCAACTTTGTGGGTTTGGATACCTTTGCTTGATCGTTTGGTAGAAAGATATTTGGGGGAAGATCAGGCTTTGCTCTGTTAAAGTTAAAAAAAAAATAAAAATAAATAGTGGGTCTTTAAGAAGCAGGAGGCTGGAGAAGAAAAACACATCAGATCTTTAAAGGAGCACTTTAGTGATAGTTCCAAATTGTCAAAACCGTCCTGAAATCTGTCTTGCTGATGAGAGGCATCTTGGGGTTTTACAGACACCGAACTGGGAAGGATGGCCCAGGCTGTAGCCGGTAAAATGATCCGGCAGAGCAATATTGCCCTTGGAGCCGAGGGGTCCCAGGCCTGTTTGTCCAGGTGCAGCACACGTGGAAATCTGTCCACTTGGCCACAGAGGTTGCTCACGCAGCCAGGGGTGCCCTGGGCCGGTGGGCTGAGCCTCGGGGAGGTTGCCCTGGCAAGGAGGTGGGGGAGCCAGGGAGGGAGTCTGTGGCCCCTTGTGCTGAAATGATGTGCCTGGAATCACAAAGGAAAGAAATCCAAACTGAACAAGCCCTTAGCCTCGGAGCTCCAGCCACGCTGAGACGTGATGAAAGCGAAAAGAAAATATAGCTGGAGTTCAAACCGTGGCTAGGGTTATGACAGTTCATAAATCAGCGAGTCTGGAAAATGTTAAGTCTCAACAATAAAATTAGGAAGCAATATTGTCGTTCAACTAGTGTAATTTTTAAAAAAATAGTAATTATGAACACATGTGTCTCCTCTCTGCAGATATATTTTATCTGTTTATCAGTAAAGCGTGCCTTCTCCAGGAGAGTGGTATGTTCATAAGCTCACTGCTTGCTCTATGCCCGTGGATAAATTATTTAAGATTTCTGAGTCTCAGTTTTTCCATCTGTAATTTAGATTTAATAATAACTTCTCTTCGGGTAGCAATTTTCAGATATTTGGTAGTAGCCCGGAGTAAGGAATATAACCTTTTATCACAATGCAATATGCTATATATCTGCATATGCCACATATATAACAAAAACAAAGCTTTCATGAATATATTCCATTTCTGCAGTTCATGCATATTTTTATTCTTCTATTTGTTTTTTTTTTAACAGTTGATTACTAATCATGTATTGAAAGCAGTAAGAGGGTCCAGGACACCAGATAAACCAGTTTGAGTTTTTCCCCAAGATAAATTTTAACAGCTCTAGTTTCTTCAGTGTTTTATCAAAATACAAAAGAAAAAAGTAGAGGTGGTTGTATTTGATGTCAGTCTGACCCTGGCAGGCTGAGGGAGTGAAAGCATATGTGGACGGGGGCTCTGAGGAGCTAGGCTCTAAGATGACCAGTCACCTGTCTGCGTTCCTACTGGTGAGACCCAGACAACCTGGAGCAAATGAGTGTGTGTAGGGACCATGGGGGTCTCCTGTTCTGGCCAGAGTGGTCCCACCAAAGCACCTGTGCTGACCCACCCTGACCAGAGGGAAGGCTGGAGTCCTTCCAAGGGGTCTGAGCGGTGGCCGCAGCCCCCAGCCCACCCCCATAGGCAGTGGTGTAAGCACAGGTACAAGCATGAGTGCTATGGGATGCAGACGACCCAGCGAGACAAAGCCAATCAGGGACCTAAGTGACCATGCAGAATGCATTGTGGCTGGTTCTGCCCGCTGCACACTCCAGATGGGAGACAGACCACAGGGCAGACTGGACTCAGGCTGTTACTGCAGAACTAGGCACATTTCTCCCTTCTCTGTGTTCAAGTGTCTCCTTATATTTACATTATAAAAAATGTGCTGAGTTGGGTTAAAAACCAACCACCCAAATGGATCTCAATACAGATTTAAAGCCCAGAGGAGGAGCGTTGAGGTGATCTCACAGCAGCTCCTAGAGGCCCCGCCCCGGTGCCTAAAATCCCTTCTCAGTACTAAACAGTGGGTGGATTCTTTTTCTTTTCTTTTTTTTACAATAAAAAAAAGCTGAGGAATATTGCATAGGAATACTAGAAACTGCCTCATTGGAAACAAGAACTATTTACATTAAAATAAAAACCCGGTTGCAGGCTGCATCTGCACTTGTACAGCATGATGAAGCACACTGAGACAGCTTCTGGCTCTCACAGCACAGGGGCTGGTCTGCCACCTGAGGGGAAAGCAAGGGGGAAGGAGGGAGCGAGGGGGAAGAGAGGCGTCCGCCTCACTTCTGGTTCCGGCGCTGCTTGCACAGCCAGTCCAGCCCCTCGTAGAGCCCGTCCCCGCTGGTGGCACAGGCGGCCTGGATGAACCAGCTCCTGCGGCGCAGGGAGTGGAGGCCCAGCTTGTCCGTGACCTCGGCTGCGCTCAGGGCATTGGGCAGGTCCTGCTTGTTGGCGAACACGAGCAGGACGGCGTCCCTGAGCTCGTCCTCCGCCAGCATCCGCAGGAGCTCCTCCCGCGCCTCGTCCCCACGCTCCGGGTCGTTGCTGTCCACCACGAAGACCAGGCCCTGCGTGTTCTGGAAGTAGTGGCGCCACAGGGGCCGGATCTTGTCCTGGCCGCCCACGTCCCACACGGTGAAGCGGACGTGCTTGTAGTCCACGGTCTCCACGTTGAAGCCGGCGGTGGGCAGGGTGGTCACGACCTCGCCCAGCTTCAGCTTGTACAGGAGGGTGGTCTTCCCCGCGCCGTCCAGGCCCACCATAAGGACGCGCATCTCTTTCTTGCCCAAAAGGCCCTTGAAGAGGTTCGCAAAGACGTTCCCCATGAGTGGACTGGAGGGAGGAGAGACTCTGGCCCGAGAGACCCTCGGCGGCCGCGGGGCTGCTGCTGCTGCTCCGAACCGGGCGTTGGTTTCTCTCCCGCGAGATAGCGGTTCTGACGGCAGCCGCCGCGGTGGGCGCTGGGGAATCTATTCTGTGTTAAGAAACACTGGTTGTGCCGAAACCGGTTTGGCTCAGTGGATAGAGCCTTGGCCTGCGGACTGAAGGGTCCCGGGTTTGATCCCAGTCAAGGACATGTCCCTTGGTTGCGGGCACATCCGCAGTTGGGGGTGTGCAAGAGGCAGCTGATGGATGATTCTCTCTCATTGATGTTTCTAGCTCTCTATCCCTCTCTCTTCCTCTCTGTAAAAAACATCAATTATATATATATATATATATATATATATATATATATATATATATATATATATATGTTGTGACCCTCTAGACTGATTTTATTACTTAATGTCTCAAAAATGCCGTGGTAGGTTTACCTGCCCATCACATAGACAATTCGCATATAAAGCCCAGATAACAGAAGGTAGTCTAGACAGGAGCTCTCCCTTCCTTCTTCCTCCGTAGGCAGCCAAACGTAACCTTAGCTACCATTTTACTTTGTGTTTCTATGACATCTGCATATATAATGCTTATGAAGTTTTCATAGTCCAGTAAACTGAAGACTCATTACCCTGGGTTCCTCGGTATCAGTGCTGATTGAATGTGGGCCTGTGACAGTCACTGTTGAGTCTGTACCAAGGAATTGACATGATCCCGGCTTGTATTTAATCTGCAGGAAACTAACCAACAACCCAAGTAGTAAACATTTTTAGAGGTTTGCTACCCATTGATTGCTAATGTGGGAACATGGCCTTCCATGTACATAAACCATGCTTTTTCATGTATTTTCATGTATACTGTTTCTCTGGTCTATCATGCAACTCAGATGCTGCAGAGACAAGAAGATAGGACTATCATTAGATGTGAGCAGAGGATTGCATGTGTGTTCTCGATTCTGGCCACAGATTGGAATAACCCAGGGAACTTTAAATATATAGCTCATGCCTATGTTCCAGAGATTCTTTTTTCTTTCTTTCTCTTTCTTTTTTCTTTCTTTCTTTCCCTTTTTCTTCCTCTTCCTTCCTTCCTTCCTTCCTTCCTTCCTTCCTTCCTTCCTTCCTTCCTTCCTTCCTTCCTTCCTTCCTTCCTTTCTTTTTCTCTTTCAAGAGTAAGGTGAGGGGGGCAGGAGAGAGATTTGTTGTTCCACTTACATATGCATTGGTTGCTTCTTGTATGTGCCCTGACTAGAGATCGAACCCACAATCTTGGCATATCTAACCATGATGAGCTACTGGCCAGGGCCCAGAAATTCTGATTCAAATAGTTTGAATAGAGCCTGAGAGTCAGTAGTTTCCCAAATGGCTTTAGATTAGCCCAATGTGCAGTCAGGGTTATGAGGCGCTGGGTAACATAGGATTGAGATTAAGCTGTTGATAAGATCAATAAAACCAGATATCATAATATAGTGGGTCCTTTTTACCACTCCCTGCACCACCCATCCCTGGCCCCAACTCCCATTAAATGTCCCTTAGAGAATCTGTGCTGGAAAGCAGGTCTGGTGATTTGTTAGAATCATTGCGTGTAACTGGATGCATTTGGTTCACTGACACCCTGACGTAATATGGGACCCCTAGGTCTGCTACCCTGGAGGTTTATTCTATAACCTAAAGCTCTGTCTTAATTTCTTTATTTACAACTAGAGGCCCGATGCATGAAATTCATGCAAGGGGCTTGGCTCTTGCAGCCCTGGCTTTGTCTGGATGGTCGTCTGGAAGGATAGCTGGAAGGTCATTCAGCTGTCTGGTCTAATTAGCATATTATGCTTTTATTATTATAGAAAGGGGTGATCCTCACACCCACCTCACGGGGAGATGACGTGATGAATGTGAAAGTTCCCAGGAATACGCCTGAAAGCGATTTCTCTTATAAAGCTACTCTGAGGGGGACTTCTGTGCTTTGTAGACCACATCAATCACAGCTCTTTCGAGTTCCCTTTGATGAAGCAGTCTGGCTTGAACAGGCACACAGCAAAGGACATTGCGCTTCTTAAATTAAAATTTGAATTCTACCTAGACATATTTTTACTTACATTTATGACACATGTAACCGAGGCACCTTTGGTCTCTTGGAATCTGGTTTGTTTTATAACAGCAAGAGACATGCTGTAATATATGTTACTGGACATGCTACTCAACATACTAGGCTTACCCCTTAACATAACTTTAGGCTGTGCTGACAGGCAAGGACATCCCGGAAGGCTGTGCAGTTAATTAATTTATCGGCCTGTGCAGGAGTTTATTCAACCAACATTGACCACACACTTTTTGCCAGGCACTGTGACAGGTGTTGGAATACAGAGGCGAAAGAGACTGTCTTTGCCCCCAGTGGCTCACCTCCCCATGGAGGAGGCAGACACATCAACCAATGACTGCACTGCAATGTGATAGCACTGTGATAATATGCTAACTATTATATGTGTTGAGCTTCCACTAGATGCCAGAGACTGTCCCGGGGCTGAGAATACATGGTGTGTGCACAGCACTTGCCTTAAAGAGCTTATATGCTAGCATTAGGGGAAAAATTACAATTTGGCCATTATAGGCACAGAAGTGAAGGCAGCTAACTTTGAATGGGGGAATCATGGAGGACTTCTAGAGGAGGTGATGTTTGAGCTGAGCTTTAATGATTGAGGAAGGCTTGCCAAATGAAGGCTGTATGAGGTGAAGATTATGGGGAAGGCCAAAGCCGGTTTGGCTCAGTGGTAGAGCATTGGTCTGCGGACTGAAAGGTCCCAGGTTCGATTCCGGTCAAGGGCATATACATTGGTTGCGGGCACATCCCTGGTAGGGGGTGTGCAAGAGGCAGCTGGTCGATGTTTCTCTCTCATCGATGTTTCTAGCTCTCTCTCTCCCTTCCTCTCTGTAAAAAAAATCAATAAAATATATTTTTTTAAAAAAAGATTATGGGGAAGGTTATATGGAGGGAGTGGGGGAAGGGGGCTTTCCAGACAGAGGAAACAACATTTACCAATGCATGTGTTGTTATATCTAAGGGTGTGGGAAGAACATACGAGGATTTGCGTACCTTATTAAGGAGTTTATAGATGCTAGGCTTTATGCAGAGGTTCAGCATTGTCAGACTTGAATCTTAGGATGATTTTTTTCAGTAGCAATGAGGAAAATGGACTTCTTGGGAATAAGAATGGGAAAGAATTTTGTCAGTGAGAAAGGGTAGGAGGCTGATCCAATGATCCGAAAGGAAATTGATAAGCACTTGAGCTAAAAACAGTGGCACTGAGGGGGTGCAGGTGGAGGGTGGAGGGGTTCAATGGGAACAAGGGGGGGGGCATCTATAACACTTGCAACAATTAAGATAAATTTTAAACAATAAAAACAGTGGTGTTGAAAGGAGAGAAGCAAGAATAGGACTGGAAATCTCCGATATAGCGTGTACAGATCTATACAGAATGGGAGAGCATTGGTTGGGGAGTATTAGAAAAGGTGGGATTCAAAGTGACTGTGAGGTTTCTGGTCAAAATGATTTAACTGGTTGGTATGTGATGACCCAGCCCACCACAATCGAGCCCCACCTTCATCTCTTCTTCTCAAGATTTAGCTCTATTTATAGAAGCCTAGGAACAAAAGATCCAATTTAGCAGGCTGCAAAAACAATATAAGAATACAATCTGGAAAAGATTATTTTAAACGGCAATTGCCTCGCTGTGTTGAACTAAACCATAAAAGCTACTTGGGGGAGAATGTGCTTTGAATACATCGCCTGCATGCTCCGCTTATCCATTTCCACATCATCGCCTTCGCGTCTTGCTGGAACCTGGGAAATGTCAGGCCCCGTCGTGCCTTTTGCCTTTCAGTTACATTCCTGCAGGTGCTGCAATGGCTCAGATCAGTGCCGTGCCGTCTTTCCCAAGCTTTCTCTGATGCACACCATCACAGGTTGTCTGGTATAGGTGCCAACTATTACCATTACTATTACTGTCTTTTTCCATTGCAAGGCGAGACACTGAGGGAAACTTAGGGAGTAAGCTACTGATTCAAGTCATTTCCAGGATGCTGAAATCTGAGAACTTTGCACCATCACGGGCCATTGTTTATAATCTCAGAGCAGACCTATTTCTAAGAAGGTATTCCAGCCAAAAAAGCCTTCAACAGACACTTTCCTAAGGTGGTGGAATTTCCCTACGCTTTGGGTCTGCCATTGAATAATGAAACACATTTCCCGCATGCAATACTAGTGCCCTCTGTGGTCACATGTTATTCTCTTGGAGAAAGAAATCTGGCTTTCACTCAAGTCAGGTGTGCCCCTTCAATTCAGTCAGATATTGAAAATAATTTCATAAAAGATAAAATAGCCCTAACCGGTTTGGCTCAGTGGAGAGAGTGTTGGCCTGCAGACTCAACGGTCCCAGGTTCGATTCTGGTCAAGGGCATGTACCTTGGTTGTGGGCACATCCCCCGTAGGGGGTGTGCAGGGGGCAGCTGATTATTGTTTTTCTCATTGATGTTTTTAACTCTATCTCTCTCCCTTTCTCTCTGTAAATAAAATAAAATAAAATAAAAATAAATCAATAAAATATATATTTTCAAAAAAAAAAAAGATAAAATAGACAAACTGGATTAATCTAGCAGCAATCCATTGCTTTTCTGAAAGAATTCACTCTCAAGATTCTTTATATTGAAAGTTTTCCCCCGAACCTTTTAGATGATTTACAAAACCCAATTTACACAAAACTCTTCAAGAGCTCATATGTTGAGCAAAGAAATCACTGTTTTGAAATCCTTGCTTAGCATAGCGTGAGTAGAAATCTGAGGAAAAAAAATTCTACATCTATATAAAAAATAATGGTCTTTTGGTACTGCTAATAACAAGCAAATGAGCAGCTCGTGGCATTATCGGTTTGGGAAGGAATGTGTTCTCCTGGCCTCGGGTC